GAGCTCCAACTCTGCTGGACTCTAGATCACAACACACAAGCCTCTGAGTTAAATTTGCTCTGTGACAGAGATGTATAAGAGTGTACTCTTTATTAATGGGTGAAAGGATCCTTCCTCTGCTGCTACATTTTATCTTATGAAAGGAGTTTTTAATGAGAGAGTCGCTGCCTTTCTAATGACACACCCGGGGTTCAAATGGCGGTCACGGCAAGCCGTCCCTGATTAGCTACTGCAATAAGACGTCCAAAGACAGGCATCTAGAGAGATGGATAATTGAATAATTTAAATACTCTTAACTTAAGCATATGAGTGGATTTGAATAGTAAACTTAAAATGGGACTTTCACTGAACTCCCTAACTCAAGTTGACACATCATCCCTTTATTAAGTAAAGTTCATGCAAACTGTTGCCCTGTTAGCCATCAACAACAAATAAATAAAAGGTAGGTTAGTCTCCTCCAGACTGTACATGCATAAAGGAGCGTTAGCCACTGTGAAGTCAGCCATTGTTTGCATACGTGAATTCAGAAGTCTCAACTTTAGCTTATTGCTGTTGCCATCTTGGTCTCTAAAGCCATAATTGGACAATAGTTTAAGCTCCAACTTACCTGATACTAGCAGCTCAGTAAGCAAAGTCCACCCATAGACTGTAGGCGTGCATTTTACACACTCTCATATTGAAATGATTTTAACAAATTTATTAGAGCATGTCATAAAAACAAGTACCTTAGAAATCTGCCAAACGTGAATTCACGTTTTTATACCCTACACACTTTCAAGAACGCGAGAAAATAAGTGTCATCTTAATCAAAAAAATCATCGCTTTTCTATTTTCTAGCCTTTTTGTAAAACAGTAAATCTGAAAACTCACGAATAGCAACAATATATGTGAACTGTTGCATGAAAAAAAAAATAAAAGCATCAACACGGACAGTTCAGTGGCTTGATGAGCTTTAAAATCTAGCTGATGCATTTAATAAAGATTTGAACAAATGACTTGCAAAAATATTCAGCCGCCATCCAGATTCCATGAACTGTATGGAGGAAGTTAGCGTTTTAACATGAGAGCGTGGCTTCTGGAGCCTTCTTGCTTTATGAAGCGATAAACTCTCTTAACCTAAATGAACAGAAAACAGAGGTGATTGTGTTTGGTCCCTGTGATCACTGCGACTTTGGCCCCTTAGAAATGTATTAAAAAAAAACCTTTGCGAGGAACCTTTGAGTGATTTTTGACTCTAACATTTGATAAACAGATCAATGCTGTAATCAAGTTTCTTTCATCTTTGGCTACTTGCTAAAGTGAAGCCATTTCTCTTTGTTAGAGACTTTGAGGGAGCTATCCATGCCTTCATTTCATCTCGCCTCGACTATTGTAATAGTCTTTACTCTGGTGTTAGCCTGTCATCAGTTAGACGTCTGCAGCTGGTCCAAAACACTGCAGCACGGTTACTAAGTGGCACACGCAAGCGAGAACACATATCTCCCATACTGGCATCATTACACTGGCTGCCAGTTAGTTTTCAAATTAATTTTAAGATTTTATTATTTGTTTTTAAGGCGTTGCATGGGTTAGCACCCTCATTCCTTTCCGATCTTTTAAATTGGTACACTCCTGCAAAATCACTGAGGTCTGCAGATTAATTGCTCCTGGCTGTCCCGAGGTCCAGATTCAAGTACAGAGGAGATCGGGACTTTGGTGCAACTGCTCCTAAATTGTGGAACAAATTGCCCCTTCACATCAGGACCTCCCCAACACTGGACACTTTCAAAACCCACTTTTACTCCCTGGCTTTTAAAGCAGAATGAGTTTGTATTACTTTTATTGATCTTATTTTTTACTCAAATCTTCTAATTTGATGATTGTTTTTCTTAACTTTTATCATGTCTCCCTATGTTTTTT